ACTGAGCTCATGTGGAATGGTAGTTTTACGCACAATGAATAATCAACATCGAAACAAAAGATTTATTTATAACTGTTGAGTAACCTCAAATACACAAATGGAATTCTAATTTCAAAATTCTTTGGTTACAGAAATCCATATTTTGGTTCTACAAAGAATTGACATTCATGCACATGTGAGAAAATAATGAAACCTGCCAATTCTACGTCCAGATTTAAGGTGAGTAGAAGGCATTAGGGGGAGGGAATGACAAACAAGTGCCAAAAAAGCATTAAATACAACTTTTTGTCAAGAAACAAAAAATAAAAAATTAAAAAATGAACATAATTTCATTTATGCATATTTTTTTAATCTTACATTTTTTTTTTTGCTCTAAAACTTAGTGCAATTATTTAAATTATTTCATTTTTGACAGCTTTTTTTCTTTTTCCTTACAATAGACTGTTTAATAACTGGTACAGAAATTCTTATTAAATACATTAGTAACTGTAGTCTGCTATTGCAACAAATTGCAATTGTATTCTTCGTTCTGACCTAAATCAATGCCCAAATACTGGAAAAATAAAGTTAAAACATTTTTGGCCAGTAACAAGGCCCTATTTAATTATGGGGGGAAAAAAATTGATGTATATCATCCAAATTTAAAAAAGGAAAAAAAAAAAATGTTCCAAGTATGACAATGTTATAAAAACAATGTTTAATTACAAATGAAATGATTTTTTTTTTTTTGGGAGGTTTTTTCCCCCCCAGAAAAAAACCAATGAAATTCTTTCAAATTTATAAACTGTATATTTCTTTTTCCATGTGATATTTTTTGTTTTTTTTTTTTAAATGATGACATACAAAATACTATGGCAAAAAGAATATGTTGTTATTTTGTTTTGCACCATTTTCTCATGAACTAGAAATGGTGTTGCATTCCTGGAAGACAAGCCTTGGACGGCATAAGAGCTGGTTCTGGCACAAAGCTGGTATGCTATCAAAATAAGCAGAGAGTCGCCAGAAAAATTTGTGGCACCTTCAATGCATCTACAGCTAATTTTTTTTTCCTTTCCAACCACAGTGGAAACAGGAGCAGCAGTCATGGAGGACCCACCGAGAATAAAGAAGAAAGTCCAAGATTCAAAAGGGAACAAAACATCCTTTTGAGACCTTCAGTTAAGAAACCCTATTTGATGTTATTGCAATAAATGGCTTGGTTCCTTATAAATAATTGGGAATTATTTTCCCCTGTAATCTGGAAGATGACAAATCACCAAAGATCAAAGGCAAATCATCTTCCCTGATCAATTATTAGTTCTTATTATCCATAGGTTGAATTTGGATTTATGAACAATGAGTGTAAACAGCTAATACTTGGCAAGAAATCACTACTTCAAATTGAAGCTGCATGCTGAATTTATAACCTCAATATACAAATAAGTTAATGCATAGCACTCAACCAAAATGTGTAAGGGAGTAGAGGAAGAAAGAGAAATAGGGCTATGGGGCAGCTCATAAATAAAATTTTGATAATGTAAAACAAAATCTGAATGCAGTTATGTTGCCTGCTTTGCTTTTGTAAATTGCAAGGTTACATTGAGAAAAAAATATCTAAATGAATGGTAACCTAGTTTTAACAGGTTTTCTAAACAGTAAATGAAAAAAAAATACTTTATTAACTCAAAATAACATATTTATAAGCTCAATCTTTCTTTTTTTTACAGAAAATTAATTTTGTAGGGTTACAAACATTACAAAATGCCAACAATTTTTATTTCTTTTATTAATGTACACTAAACTATGTCAATTTCCACTATATATGACTTTTTATTCTATAAAAAAATTAAAAAAACTAGTTCTATTAAAATTTTAATGAAATTTATGCCTCTATAAAGTAGAAATATCTAATTAAACTAAAGATGATTTCTAATGCCTGTATTCATAAAAAATAATATATATGAGCTGATGCTGAAATACTGAATGCATGGTTGCTACGTGCTAATGGCAAGATGGACATTAAGGTTACAAATCCGCTACAGCAAGCCATAAGATCAACTGCAAGCAAGACATTGGTTAGTGTGTGCATGTAGAACAAATATGCTGCGTGCTTTGAGGGACAAGGGAATGGATGGTAATTTTAGGAAACCATTTTATTTTGTCAGGAAAGAAAACTGAATAAGATAGGAGAGCAGTAAAAGCAGGGAAAGCACATGACATTTTGGCATCGAGAGAAGTTTCAGCATGCATTAATAGAAATCATTGTTCCTTAGTTGTTGAAGAAAGAAAAAGTTTCATAGAATTAAGGCACAAGCAAAGAATTCTGGCTACAAAGATGATTAAGCAAATCAAATTCACTCCAAACGTAAGGACCTTGTTTCAAATGTATACAAATAATCATCCAGGTTTTTGAACTGCCGTGAAAAATGTAATAGAACTAGTTTCCTCAACCTCCACCAACTAAACTAGAATGTTTTTAGCTTACTTGATTGGTTTCTTGAAGATGTCTTCATGGTCATACACGAGATGATCACACTCCTTTTGAGTAGAAAACGACATTGTGTAATAAAGAGAAAATAAATCTATCATTTGATGAGACACTGATTAAAATAGTCACTAAATCTTCTAACCCTGAAAAGAAGAACATTTGTTGTCTTCATTAGAGTTTTTGATGAATTGTCTTCAACTATACAAATAGCTGCCTTGAAAGTTCAAAATGTCGCAACATTTATAAAGAAAAAAAAAAAAAAAAAATACTCTTGTAATAGAAATTTCCTATCAAAGAAAACTCTGTGGGTGTATTAGATTATTTAAAATGAAGCCAAGCCAAGAGAAACCTACACTGATGGATAAATTGAAAAGAAAAATACATGTTGCCAAGTGCCTCTTTAGAAACAGCATATACAGAAATTTTTGTCGATGCAAGTTGGACTATTCAGCAAAAGAGAATGTTATTCAGAGTCTCAAAGAAAGAGTCAAGAAAAAGTTGGTCAACGAATTCTGATAAGACAAAGCTTTAAAGAAATTAATAATAAACAGAAATAGGGAATAAATTGTTTTTCCCCACAATCCTGAAACTATACAAACAATGCCTGATCAAAAACAAAAAGCAGTAAAATGATAAAATACAAAAATACTTGGTAGCAAATGGAGCAAAAATTTGTGAGATATCAGTTATCACTTAGCATAACCTGAATGAAGACACTTTGCCAGAAAGTCTGTCAAATGAAAACAATTTGGTTGAATAAATAGGATTTTGTAGTCCCATTAGGAATGTTTGCTTACAGAAAGAAAAGAATAAAATTTAAATTCTAAAAAGGGAAATCAAATCTATGTTTCTATGCAAATTAATATAATGGTTATTTCATAGTTTGCTTTCTTTTCAAGGGTTAATGTCAAAAATATACAGCATTAAATAGACTTTTGCAATCAGATTTTATTGTATCAGCTGAGAAGGTATTCAAAGCTGGCTACATGATTAAAAGAAAATAGGTAAAGAAAATGTAAAAAAATATATGGAATGAGAAAGTATGGTAAGTGATTAAAAGTAAATTGGTTAATAAGCTGATTGAACAAAGTACTAATGATCTGAGACTAAGAGAAATCAAAGTAGAAAAGACTAAAATGTAGAGGAGCAGATTAAGATAAAGCAAGTAAAGTATGATATCACAGGTTACAAAATTAAGACAGCATTTCAAAAATTGTTTAAATATAAAGCAATGAGTGTAGCAGAGCTTGTCATAATATATTGAAACTAAGAAAACTTGAGCTAAACAAGACAAGTGAGTAGAAAGTTTCTGTTGAGAAATGCAGAAATGGAAATTAGAAAGCAGTTCCTGCAAAGAACTTTTGACAGGTGAAGAAATAGAGAGAGACAAGGGAAGCAATTGCTCTAGCAGCTCACCTTATAACTGATGGAAGTAGCGTCATTAACTATGCTTGCTGACTAATAGTAGTGTAGTCATGGCGAGCTAGCTATCCAGTCTTAGATGTCTACGCTCAGGATCGTGCAGCAGGGCTTATGGACAGACCCAGGGAGGCAACGAGTTCGAGGAAGCACTACTATCTGTGTCAGCAAGGTATTTTCCTCCTTTCTCTTTTTTTTTGGGGGGGGGTCTTTATACACCATCTAAATACAAACAAAATATTCCATGCACGCACACACCCACACAAAAAAAAAAATTTAAAAAAATTAAAAATAAATAACTACAGCAGCAGCAGTAATAATAGTCATAGCAACAGCCACAATTGTATTGGAAGCCAAACACAGTACCATCACTGTGACTTTTGGTATATGTCTAATTTAAACTCTTCAAAATAACATCCACCACATTATTCACATTACTGTGTCCTCTACACATACATAGGAAAATCTGTTTGATTTTTGACAAAAAAAAAAAAAAAAAAAAAAAAATTGTTCTTTATTAAAAAAAATTTAAGATCTTAGTTTAGTACATAAGGATAAATAAAAACTTAAGTTAGAAAAAAAATGTCATGTTTTACATTTTATCAAATTTATTATTATTATTTATTATTATTCTAAGCAAGAAAATGGTAACAAAACAAAAAATGTATCAGTTTTTATTTCAATAAAAAGCAGCTAATGTTGAAGAATGGATGTTGTTGATATTGAAGAGGAGACAAGGTATGGGTAGACAGTGATTTGTTACTGTGGATGGTCAAAATGGTTGATGCTAACAACTCATGACCTGCAGGGCTACATTTCCTATTGACAAATACAAGACAATAAGAGACGTACATTAATCAATCAACAGTGGGAGAGGGAGTAGGAAATACAGAAGAAAATGTTTGGGGTGTAGCATGTCATTCATCAGGATTCAAACTAGATATCTGATTAGAAATATATTGGACATGTAACACTTACATTAAAAGAATTTGGATAGAGGTGGACAAATTGAACACATGAAATGAATTATGGAAAAAAAAAAAAAAAAAAAAAAAAAAAAAAAAAATAATGTAAAAATAAATGAGAAAAGAAGCAAAAAACAAGCACACAATTTTTAAGGTTTTGTAGTTAACCAAAAGAGGAATAAAAAGCCATATGAAATGCCAATGGTAACATCAAGGATAGAAATCATGTAGGCACATGTTTGGCACAGCAGAGAAATCAAGAAAAATGATTGAATAGATAGAAAGAGGGTGAGCTGATTAGACTGGGCTGAAAAGGAAAAGATAGACAAAGAAAATACACAATTACACACACACATGCATACACACACACACCCATCCACACTACATATACCAAAATGAAATTGAGTCCTGGGTATGCTTAATTAGGAAATGGTTTTATGAGAAAACCTTCAAATGTTTATAGAAATGGAAGCATGGATGTAGCTTTATGATCGAATCAATGAAATCAGATTTTAAAATTAAGAGTACAAAAATCTATATTGAGTTTAGATAAATATGACTGAATGGTTTGTATTTTCACCTTATGTTATCACTGGCATCCAAAAAGGGGTGGAGAGAGAAAAAAAAAAAAAAAAAAGTTGTCTGCATGTGGCTGGAACATTTCCTATTTACAGTGAAATATATCTATTATACATTTAGTGTGTATGTACACAATGGAAGTAAAAAAAAAAAAAAAAAAATTCAATGATCAAGTATAACAACATGTCAATTTACAATCATAGTAATACAATGTTTAAAAACACAAAATATTTGGAGACCTGAAACAAGAGAGAATTTCAACTATAAAGAAAAGCAAATATTTATGAAAGTATGACAGCAAAGAAATAAAGAAATTTAGCTTAAAAGATAAAAATTTAAAAAAGAAAACAAAAAGAAGAAAATGAGGGTCATAGAACCATCTTGGCTGAATATGTAGAAGGAAGCAGTTTTTTATATAAAGCAATGAGTTGATGGTGAAATATTAAAGAGACAAAATACATTGTTCTCAAAGATGATGATGAAAGAATGATTGGTTTAATATAGAGTGTATGTGTTTTGTTTAAGAAACATTGTTGACTGATTAATTCTCAAAGTGAGATAAAAACCAACAAAAGTGAGTTGTCTTCTGTGAAAAAAAATTTTCTACATTATAATTAAAGGAATCGGTAAGCATAATCAAGAAAGTACTTATTTCAGATACAACTTTATCTTCTATTCTTTCCTCCAACACCATTGTTTTATAAAGAGAATGGCTTAGATTTCTGTTAGAAAATTTTGGAGTTTATCATAAGGTACTGAAAAGTTATCAATGCAAGCCACTTTACAAAATCAATATCTTAATGACCAAACATCAGAATACTGATTTTGAGAAATGAGTAAAACTGAAAGCTTTTCAGCACCTCCTCTTAAGAGATTAAGTAAAAACAAAAGATAAAGAATAAAAAACATGAAAAATATTCAAAAACAAATGACATTCTCAATGTTCAGAAGGAAGATGACTAGACAAAATTAACTTCCAATGTTATTGCTTTCAGAAAAGCATGCTTTCACCAATCAGTTATAAGCATTAAGAATGCAAGTCTTTACCAAGTCAGTTTAGATTAAATATCATTTTTGATTTTAATCCACTTTAAAGTAAAATGATAAAAAGTTGCCAATATGTGGTGAGTAAACACAGGAGCCAACAATAGTTAATAACTAAAAGAAAACAGAAAAAATTGCTAGCAGTTACTTACCACTAAAACTGTTTCAAGTTGAGGAGGGGGTGAGTAATACAAATATATTCAAAAGAATATTAAAGTTTCTCAATGCAAACAAAGAATGGCTTAGAAACTCATGCACTATGTTATCTAATCTTAAAGCCCCAAGCTTTGTTAACAGCATTTCCATGCAAATGAAAGATAAAATACTTGTATTACTTCCATTGCTTCCTATTTAAGTGATTAATATTACATGATACAAAATTAAAGCTGTTGGAAGGATCAATACTTTAGCTTAGAGCAAAATGAAAATCCCAAACAAGCAAAATAAATTAAATTTGCTACAGTTTTAAAGATTCTTAAAAAGAACAGAATAACTTAAAATTTTGCTTTTAGATTGCTCCACTTTTACCCAGGCAGCCTATTTAAGGCAAGGGAGTCAGTCACAACCATTCCTCTCTGGAAGAAGAAAGGAACAAGTCAATTCTGCAAGCATATCAAGTACTCTTTCTATACAATGGCTGGAGACGTCAATCACTGTACAATTACTTCAATCTTAGCAGAAAGGTTTTAGTACAATCTCCTTCCAAAGCATTCATCACACTGAAATCCCAATTCAAATAGACTAACAAAGATAAACAGTATACAACAGTTGTAACTCAAGTGATTCACAAAGAAACATTAGATATGTTCAAATGGCTTGAAATAACCCTATTCTGGAGCATTTATCTAACAGTTTTAAGACCCACACCTAAAACTATTTTGAAATTTCACCAGCTTAGACCAAACTAAACCCATGAAAGTTTAGAGCATTGACAATCTTCGCTTTGCTTCAGAGGTTATAGAAACAAAAAACATTAAGGTTTCAGATTCCTTTTTCATAAAAAAATTCCCATTCTAATAAAGAAAAAAAATAAATGAAGCTTTCTTTTATTAGACATTACTTTTTGAAAGATTAACAATTCTATTAGATTTTACATGATGTCCTGTTTTATATTTGTCAAAAAATTCAACAAGAATAATTTTGATTTAAAGACAAAATATTTTTTTTTACTTAAGTATCAATACCAAAGTAAAAGAATTGATATTTAAACCAACAGAGGGGGGGACATTTTCATATACATTTGTTAAATTTAAAATGACATGAAATTAGATTACTAATATGAATGCACAGCTGAATAGAAGCACAGCAGTCCTGAGGTATTTATTAATATCTTTATAGAATATCAAAACAAAATAATTTTACAAATCATTAGTATGATAAATTAGGATTTGTAGATTTTGCAGATTTAAAGAAAGTTAAGCAAGTAATCATCTTCCTTGATCATTAGGAACCTGAAAGAAATTTACCACCTGAAATAAAGAGTTGCTTTTCTTCCCCAAATTTGCTCCAAATATACACACACACAAAAAAAGACTAATACAATAGAATTTATAAAATATATCAAGTTAAACATTTTACCCAATGCCATGGTATAAAATATTTTTTAACAAGATCCAATAATTAAAAACTAATTAGAACAAAAATATTGTCAAAATATCAAAATTTTAGAAAAGTTAAAGTATATTAAAAAAATATAAATCTATTAAAATAAATATATTAGTATTTTATCAAGAAAAGAAAATACTCCTAGTATGATATCAATGTTAGATGATTGTTACATCTACTAAATATGAAATTTAACCAAACTTTTCATAAAGCAAAAAGTCTCAATTGACAATTTTCTTACAATCTTATAGCCAGACTGGTTCATGGAGTACCATATTGCAGATAGAACTGCTTAATAGAGGGATAAAAATTAAAACAAAATTTTATCAAAAATTAGAAAATATTAAAAATAAAAATAAAAAATTGAGCAAAAAATAAATAAAAAAAAAAACTGTTCAAACTTGTTTCAGGGAGATTCCAATCACTAGAAAGGTCCATCCAATTTCAAAATGTAGATTTTAATCACATAGAAATTCTTTTACAATCTGTATGTGTATATACAGGTAGATTTTCCTTCTGGACAGAATTTCATTCATGCATAACTAAATAAAGAGAGTAGTGAAGAAGAAAAAAAATGATAGAAAAATAAATAAGATGACCACAGGCTGAAGAATCTGTAGAACTTAAAGATTTCACCATCATAAGATAAATATTCCCCATAGTGTGCAAATGAAAGAATTAAAAAAAAAAAAAAATAATAATGCACTTGGAGGGGTGCATCTGCATGCCATTGTGGATGTTGGCAGACACAAGTGGAGAAGTCATCATTCAAACCAGCTTTCAGAGAGATGTCTGAAGACACAGAGAAAGAGAGATTTGACTCAGTAAGAAACTGATCATCCTCTAAGGCTTGAAAAAAAAAAATAAATAAATAAAAAATAAAAAAAGATTTAAATTAGAAAAATTAAGAAAAAAAATGATTGCTGCTTGAGTGAGTTGACTAGACAGAACAAAAATGGTAGTTTACCACTTGTTTTCACTAACAATAAGAATAATTGAGTTTACTAATAATGATTGACATGACATTTGGAAGTGGGGAAATAGAAGAAATCAACTTTCTCAGCCACACGCAGGCAACCAGTCAGTGTACCTAAATGAAAAGGACAAGGACATGGGATGGGGGCAAGACAAAGGGGATGGGTAGAAAAGAGTTAAGGTGTAATGGTAATGATGAAGAGGAAGACAACAGTAAAGACTCATGTCAAGTTATTTGTCAGCATCATCATCATCCTCCCCGCATTGTTATTGCTGCAGCGGCAGCAGTCTTGGCCACAACCAGACATCACTGATCAGCACGCATCACTTCTCCCAGATGGCACAAGCCCCTCCACACGGCGCCTCTGACTCCGCCGATAAGCATCTGCTCTTCTGTAAGGTTCATTCTTCAGGTCTGAAATTGAAAAGATAGAAACAACTATTATAATTTATTGATAAAAGAGATTATCTTTATCTAATTGCAAAAAAAAAAAAAAAGTTTTATCTTGGTGGGAATTAGATTACATCAAAATGGATAAAGGTTTGTTAAAAGTTATATATTTAAAGAGGATAGATGATAGTTTGTAAGAGTTTCTACTTTGAAAAGAATATATGTATCAGAAATTGTAGCATGAATAAAGATTATAAATAAACATATTTTGCTTAATGTGACAAGTGCTGATTTTTCCTGTAAGAAATAGAAGCAACACTTAATTTGTCAAAAACAACGGTTTAGAACTCAATAAAACAACAAATCCATGTCCTCAGCAACAGCAATGATTTTCTTTTTTTAAAGAAAGTAATAATATTTCTTACTAACTTCAAGTCATAATCACAGAACAAAAAATAAATAGTACTAAAATCAATAAGATTTTTGACTTGGTATATGAATAAGAATACTTCTGAACAAATCATCACCATTTACACCAATGCTCTTCAAGTATTTTTTTGTTTAGTGCTCATATTTGTGAGATTAAAATTTACATCATGCTCACCAATATTTAAATTGTAAAAACTAAACTAAAAGTTACATACCCTGCATAAATCACTAAACAGAAATTACTTTCAATTTAATGAGATTTTTGTGTATAATGTTTGATATTGGTTTTGATTTTTGTAAGGAAAAAGCAAAGATCTCATCTCTCAGTGATTTTCAGAAAATTACTATGCTTTATGAAAATATGATTCACAGTACTAAAACCAGATTCAGCTAGTTAAGAGGTAAGGAAATACCACAGCAAATTATCACTTCCTACTAATCTATTTCCACCCAGTCATTTTTTTAGCAGCAATCATTTTTAAAATTGCATTTGATTTCTTCTTCATATCTTAGATTTAGTAGTCATTCTACACATGGTGCATCCGCCTCAGCAACATTTGCTGTAAAAAGATTCACCACTGAATCATACATCTTCAAATTCAAAATATCACTAAATCTCCCATATCCATTTCAAATTCATTAATGTGTCTATTGAACCATTCAATCTCTTCTGCAATTACATCACATATTTAACTCCAGAAAATGAATTTCTTTCTTTCAAAAAGATCACTTTATTTCATAAGTAGAACATGTTTCCAAGTGACAAGTTATATTAGTTCCTTGAAGCTGAAAATTTTACTGAATTTCTTTAAAAACCAAAAGACATGCTTCAGCCAAATAAAACACACCATGTTTTTATTGCTTTTAACTGTTGACAAAGATAAACTTCATTTTCAAAAAACACACAATTCAATCAAGAAATACACATAATTTACATATATACCCTTTGAGAGCCAATGAACCAATTTGATTTTATCTTATAGCTCTAATTATTATGCTTATTTATAACCTTAACCCTGTTTGATAACAGAAGACTAAAATGTTTTTCTACAAGATGTTGCCTTTGTGCCACATAATGAATACACAAAATATTTAGCATTCCCCTTTTCAACTAACCAATAACATCACACTATCAATCTGTCATTGATTGATGGTGTAATGCATGCAGCAATATTATTCACCAATGTTTTTGCAAAGTACAATTTCACAGCTGTAAGTATTGATTATCCTTTGTTACAAGATTTTAAAACTATTTTTTTCCATATTGTTTTCATTGTAATGTACATGTGCCATCAAAAAAACATCTTCAATGATAGATGCAAACAAATTTATGGAGAATAGTATGAAAAAGCTGTGAGGGTTGGCAAACAGTTTGTTACACTGTATTGCCTTAGTAAAAGCGATTTTATTACTTCAAGTGAATTTTGGTGAATAACCTGAAAAATTCTTTGATAGAAAATATTATCAAAGACTCTAATGTTATGACTCTTACAATATATAGACAGCAATTAATCCTCCTTTGTTCTTTTCTTTCTTAAATGATGCAACTATCCCTGGACAATTTTTTAAATTACAGTTCTTGAACATAATCAATGGGTTTATCTTTATTTTTTAGATGCAGAATAGCAAAATGTTCTTACAAACAACTATTTCATTGCTCCATTAGAAAATATCCTGTGACAGCAAGTGCATAGTGTGTGTGTATTTTTTATATATATATATATATATATATATATATATATATATATATATATATATATATATATAAAATAGCTGAGACAAATCCTTATCAAATGGCAGTCTTTAATTCCAGATAACAGGATTCCCAAACAACTTCTCTATGGGAATACAGGAAGGCATCCATAACAAGTTTAGGAAGAGTTTTAAAGATAATCTGAATGCATTGCACATGGACATGCAGCATTGCATTAGGAAGAACTTACTTTAAATCATACAGAGTGTAGAGACTTTATTAGGGATGAATTTCTCAGGAATGCTCAGATCAAGCACAATCTACGAAGAGTCACTTACTCTGATTTTCCAACTAAAATGTATGTGTGTGTGTGAGGGCAGATTATGCAAACAATCTGAAAGTTCATCATAACAACCAGAAGCAAGCCAAATATGTCAATCTGCCTCATCATCCTGTCAACAATACTTGTATTGTTTGCAACAAGACTAGCAGAACATCATCTAGACTAAGAAGGCATGTGGTGGTACACAGGAGAGTTGGAGGGCATGCAGATCCAATCAAGGGTACAAAGTTTATCTATCATATATGCCTGATACCTATGAAATTGAATGCTGGTCTCAAGTGACATTTTAGGGGCCATGGACACCAAAACAAGATCGAAGCCATCACAAGTGATGCAAGGTATGGCTCTCATCACACAAAAATCTCTCTATATATATATATATATATATATATATATATATATATATATAATAAATAATTTTTTTTTCCTCACTGGTAGCAGAATTGAGTTTCATGCACAATGCAATCTTCAGGCGCTGACTGAAAACACCTGAAGATTAAATTATGCATGAAATATAGCAAACATGGATAAATGTGCCTTCAATAAGATGCAGTATCAAAAGGATTCCCTCCTCCATGATGCTACTTTTTTTTTTTTTTTTTTTAACTACCTTTACTGTTTGGCAACATTTGTTTTAAAAAGCAGTGATTAAAATTGTAATAAAAGCTAAACATATAAAAAGGGAATTTATACATTTTTTTGGTTCTAGAGAATTGACTAGACCAGAAGAGTTCACTATATAGAAATGAGTAATTAGTCAATCTCTATCTAGTGGATTCTTCTATGTAGAATTAACAATAAATAAAATTCCATATTTTTTTAATGATGAAGATAGTACAGAAAACAAACAAATTAAGTATTTTACAAATACAGTGTAATTGGAAAAATTACTTATATTAGTCATTTTCTGACAGCATGAACAAACTAGAATCTCTGATAGAACCCAACTTCATATACTCTGGTAAATAATCACTAGTAGATTTCCTTTTTTTTTGAACCTTGGTTTTTAATAGTGAAAGCAAATTCTAGCACAAACTACAAAAATTCACAACATATGCAATTATAGAACTATTTTCCATTAGAAGTATAACAGTTACCAGTTTTTTAATAAACCACCATGAAATTGCTGATAGTTAATAACAGTTGAAAAATTATCCTCATTAAAACTGGTTCTTTTTCTGTCCTTTTTCTATATTTATTACCTTTATTGTTTCATTACTTACAATATTTGAAGATAGAACTGTGTGTATTCCATACCGACTGGATATGGCTTTTAAATATTGAATTTCTCCTTGAATTTTTAGGCAATCACAGATTAGTTTTTAATAGATTAACTTTTTACCTTTGACTGAACACTAAACCTTTCTTTCAACTTGCACTCAAAAAACAACCCAATATGGCACAATATTCAATTTACAGAGGCTATTTATAAAGTAAAATTTTATCTAGTCCTTCAAGATTCATCATCAGTCCTTCATCAATGTAAATAATAATAATTATAATAATAAATAGCAGAGTTTCTAGAAAACCAGACAGATGGTAGCAATCAGATTTGTCAACCTTTGAAAAGGAAGAATTAAGAAATGTGGGTGTACTTTTGTTTCTATCAGGTCCTGACAGAAAATTGATGGAAAAAAAATGTTACCCTGCCTACAGACTGTGCACAAATAAACCCATTGTAAAAGGAGGCAACAGAACAAATCTAATGAGTCTTCCATCCACATCTTTATAGTAAAGGCAAAGTTAGTTCACTTTTTTTAGTTCAATATACAATGTGTGAACTTCAGAAATGAGGAGGATACTAGTATATCTAACTTGTTGATCACTAGGTTGAATTTATGTTATTTAAAAATTATTTGGGGTTAAAATTCTATTTTGTAAGAACAATAAAAAGTACAAAAAAATACAAAAGCATCTTACTACAGTTAACCAAATCTTAATTTAAATTTATAACCTATAAACATTTAGAGTTTTTTTTCACTATGCTGGAAGAGGCTTAAAAAGGCAACCTCATCAGCATAACTACAAATAATACAAGGTGCTTTGATCATAATTTAAACAGCCATCTCGATGGCTCTAAAAATTAAGTATTGACAAAACAGTTAAGATCTACTATCATCTAAACTAAGGCTTCTCAGAGCTGAAAAAGACCTAGAAAAAAAAAGAAAAGAAAAACTAGCTGCCTCCAATATGCTGCTAATACCTGATATGGTGACTTGACAGGGATCAACATACAAAATTTCCAAGTGTTTCAGTCTGTGCCATACTAATATATGGAGCATGACATCAGTGTCATGGAGCAAATGAGGAAGCTCCTTAAACCTCCGAGCAAATTTACCAATGCTCTTCTTGCCTCAAGAAACATAGGTGACATTATCAGCCACCGTGTCTGTCCAAATTACCCATGATATTCTAGTGGGAAAAACAGCGAGACATCCCCAATCAAAGAAATGAAAAAAAGTGAGGAGAGAAGATTTTAAAAAGGCATAATCATGCACAGATCTTGCACTCACTGATCCAGTTTTTTTTTCAAAAAGTACGTTTTAGACAAACTACCGC